AGCTCACAGCAACCTCAAACTCTTTGGGCTCAAGCAATTCTCTTGCCTCAGCTACCCAAGTAGCTGGGGCTACAGGCACCTGCCACAATGCCCAGATATTTTTAGAGAGGGGTCTCACTTTTGCTCAGGCTGGTCTCAAACTTCTGAGCTCAGGCAATCCACTCACCTTGGCCTTGCAGAGAATCCTAGCACTTTTTTTTTTTTTGAGACAGAGTTTCAAACTGTCATCATGGATAGAGCGCTGTGGCATCATAGCTCATAGCAACCTCCAACTCTGTGGTCCCAGCTACTAGGGAGGCTGAGGCAAGAGAATCGCCTAAGCCCAGGAGTTGGAGGTTGCTATGAGCTGTGTGATGCCACAGCACCTACCGAGGGCAACATAGTGAGACTCTGTCTCAAAAAAAAAAAAAAAAAGAAAGAAAGAAAAGAAAAAAAAGAAAAGAAAAGAAGCCAAGGTTACTGTCAACAAATGTCACTTGAATGGACCATAATTCCAATTTGGCAAATGTTTTGTCCTGAAAAAGCAGAAAAAGCTAGATCAAATTTCATATTTCTTGGAGAATATGCATCAAATACCTTACAAATCCTCATGTTCTGATCTGGTAAAGGCACTACAAGCAAAACAACCTAAATGATAATTACATTTGTGCACAAAGATGAAAGAACATGAGTGACATTTATTGTATCATTATTTATAGCAATAAAAAAACAATTGAATATCCAACAATAGAGAAATGGTTAAAGTGTGGGGCATCCATATAATGAACTAATACAACGCAAGACATTTAAAAATCAAGTTCTAAAAAACAGTGAATGAAAAAATAAGCACTACCAATTTGTGAAACACTTACTCTGCATCAGTGAATTAAGTACTCTACATAAATAATGTCATTTAATTCTCACCAGAATCCCATGAGGTCTGCATTATTATCCGTTTTTACAGAGGACTAAACAGAACCTTAGGGTGAGGCTCCGTCAAAAAAAAAAAAAAAAAAAAAACTAAAAAAAGAGAGAATACACATATAGCATTTAGCATAGTGGCTGATACATATTAAGTGTTTAATAAATGTTGAATATTGCTATTATTAACACTTATCCTACAATAACTAAAGCTAGTTTTCTTTGGTATTTCGGCAGTTTTCATTACATCTTACCTTATGTGAGGTTTACTTCTCTGTTGCTCCCACTCAACAGAGAACTCCTTGAAGGCAAGGACAATATCTTCATCACCTAGCCCTGGACCTATTATGTAATAGTAATAACTACTAGCACAATAATAGGTAATACAGCAGAATGGTAAGCTGGGAACAGTGTAATCCTAGCACTTTTATTTTTTTTGACAGAGTCTTACTCTGGCACCCTGAGTAGAGTGTTGTGGTGTCATAGCTTACAGTAACCTCAAACTCTTGGGCTCAAGCAATCTTCTTGCCTCAGCCTCCCAGGTAGCTAGGATTACAGGC